AACATTTTGAAGATCCTGTTCTTTAAAAAAAGTCTTAATTCACGTATTTCAACTTTCACATTCTCTGTAAAAATTGCGTCTCACAAATTAATATAAACAATAATTGTTTGTTTAAATTTGCCAAATGTCTCTATTTTACTGTTCCTCTCTTCAATTAGTTTCTTCTCTGTTTTAAATGAATTAAATTTATTCACAGATTATATCTTAAGGGGTCAAGTAGCGATCCGCTAGTGAGGTGGTAGCGACTTTTCGCCGATAGGGGCGATGCTTTTTGGGGATCTTTGGCGATCAGTTACTCCCTGTCAGTAGTGGTAACGATTGCAGTATACAGTAAATCAAAGTGTCGGTCAGATAGCCAGGCGGGCTAGGCGGCCGGTTCTCATTCTCTTTGCTAATGGTTCAGTGGATGTGGATTCGAGCCCCAGCTCGGTGTACAGAAAAACAAAAAGGCTAACGCAGCAGTTTAAAATTCTAAATGAATCTGCGGCTTAGACTAGAATATGCTAGTGTCTGATCGGTGTATGGTGAAGCAGTATGGCAAGAGATAAGGGCTTGTGTCTCGGTGATACTCCTCCATAGATCCCTACCGGAAGGGCGTACCTACCGCCTAAATACCGGTATATATATATATATATATATATATATATATATATATATATATATATATATATATATATATATATATATATATATATATATATAGTAAATCAAAGTATGAAGTAAAGTGAAGTTTATTGTAAAGCAGCAAGAAATTAAGTTTCTTAACTGCAAGTTAGTGCAGATTAGTTAATCGTTAATGGTGGTGAAAGCACAAATTCACCGTAAGATTTTACCTTTTTTATACTACCTACCCATCTGTATACGTCGTCGAATTTCCTGTTCACAGCTTTCTTTGTTGTTGACGGTGATGCCCACATAAAGATAACTTTCAACTACGTCATATTCAGTCAGGTTCTAAATTTATGTTCTGTTATTGTTGATTTTATTGACTATTACTTTTGTATGACAAAACAAAGACTCCCTTGTAGATTAACAAACGACGAGAATGAAACGATATGGGAATTAAGCGATCTAAACAACGTATGGGGACATTACATAGAAGAACTATTCTCGGACACACCACTAAACAACATAATATATAAAAACCATGAAACCAGTCCTCCTATATTAAAACAAGAAGTAGAGAGAGCAATCAAAAACGCAAAAAATGGGAAAGCCCCTGGCCCCGATGACATACATACGGAAGTCATAAAGCTACTGGAAGAGAAACATTTAAATATAATCGTCAAATTATTTAATCAAATATATACAAGCGGTGAAATTCCACAAGACTGGTTAAAATCAGTCTTTATTCCCATTCCAAAAACTAAGGGAGCAAAGAAGTGTGGTGATTTCAGACTTATTAGTTTAATGTCGCATATGTTAAAGTTATTCTTGAAAGTTATTCACCAACGCATTTATAAGAAATGTGAACAGGATATCAGTGATGAACAATTTGGTTTCCGAAATGGATTTGGGACACGGGAAGCATTAACCAGTTTTATTATACTGCTGCAAAAATGTCGAGACCAAAAAAAGGATCTCTTTTTATGTTTTATTGACTATCAAAAGGCCTTCGACAAAGTTAAACATGATAAGCTGATGGAGTGCCTTCACAAAAAGGGACTAGACGAGAACGATTTTAAAATTATCCAAACGCTGTATTTTAACCAAACTGCAGCAGTTAGAACAGAAGCCGGTGACACAGAAATATTCAATATCAAGCGAGGTGTACGACAGGGGTGTGTATTGTCACCACTACTTTTCAATATATATTCGGAAGAAATCTTTAAACGAGCACTAGAGCAATCAAGAGAAGGTGTTAAAATTAACGGCAGAGTTCTAAATAATGTACGATACGCCGACGACACGGTCCTAATTGCAGAGAGCGCACAGGATCTCCAGACACTCTTAGATCGCGTCAGATCGATCGGAGAACAATACGGCCTCAGCATTAACGTCAAGAAAACAAAAACAATGATTGTCTCCAAAACATTCAACCATCCACCCATGGCTTTAAACGTGAATGGTAACATTATCGAAAATGTCGAGAAATTTCGATATCTAGGGTGCTGGATAACGAAAGATATAGATCCAGACATAGAAATAAAATCGCGAATTGAACAAGCAAGAAATGTCTTTTTAAAAATGAAACAAATGTTTACGTCCCAAACACTCAATCTCAAAATCCGATACCGAATGCTGAAATGTTACGTTTACAGCACCTTACTATATGGAATGGAGGCATGGACCTTCAAAATCAACTCACTAAGGCGTTTGGAAAGTTTTGAAATGTGGTTATTTCGAAGGATGCTGAAAGTCCCCTGGACAGCGCATATGAGCAACGAGCAGGTCCTACACAAGATGGGTACCGACAGAGAACTCTTAAAAATAATGAAAACACGGAAAACCTCATATTTGGGACACATCTACAGAAATGAGAAATACCAGCTACTGCAGCTTCTTATAGAGGGGAAGGTAGAAGGAAAACGTGGTCCTGGTAGACGGCAGGCGTCCTGGTTGAAGAACATTCGTGAGTGGACTGGTTTGGATTCTCAATCTTTAATAAGAAAAGCCAGGGACAGAAATGATTTTGCTGAGGTTATCGCCAACCTTCATTGAAGACGGCACCCAAAGAAGAAGATTACTTTTGTTTTGTTTTTATTATCGTAGTTTATGTTTCTCGCTTACTCTTTTTTTTTTAATTTGTCGAGTATCATTGTAATCTCTTCCTCAATTTTGGCTATAAATACCGTGTCATCGGCAAAGCAAAGATTAGTCACGTTGACTCCACCTTCTGCAATGTCTTCTTCCCATTCATATAGAAAGAATTTTATACCGCAAGGAATATATGTTTCACAACTGCTTTATTGATTTCATACAAACATGGTAGGAGTTTAACTAGGTGAATCTAAATGTTCATTTTTAGTAGATACCATGGTATATTATCTAAGGTTTTCTCGTAGTCCACGAAACAGATACTTAAGGACGTTGTATTCTCTTGATTTTTTGATAAGTTGTCTTATATTTAAAACTTGCTGTCATGTTCCGTTCCCTTTACGAATCCGACTTGTTCAGAAGCTATTTGTCTGTCAATACATTGATCCAATCTATTGTGTATTATTTGAAGAAGGATTTTACTTGGAGTGTTATCAATGAGATTATTCTATAGTTGTTGCGTTCTGTGGTCAAATCTTTTTTATACAAAGAAACAATAACGAAGGTTGCCCAGTCAGTAAGCCATTTAAGGGTTGTCCATATGAGTTGACATAAGTAGTGTATACTTTTTCTTAATTTCATCTACACCATTAGATTTGTGTTGTGCTATTTTCTTTAGAGCTGCTTCAATTTTACCATCATAATATATGATTCTTTTTCATAATCATTTTTATGGATTTTAATTTCATTTTATTTCATATGTAGTTTAGTCACAATAGCCCTTTTGATCGAGTGGTAGGGTGTTTAAGCGCTCACTCATATAGATAGACATATAGATAGATATATTGATAGATTCAATGAAGTGGCTTTTGGCTTATTACGCTGTGACCTTTTTAGATCTATTGTGGTTCTCTAGCCCTAGGTAGCATTCTCTATCCTGATCCTTTTTGAATGGTCTAATAACTTCGTGACTGAATCTTATATGTAGCTCTTTTTCGGTGATTTTCTTCGTCTAATGTAGGTAACTGCACATTTGCCAGGCTTTCACACTAACACAGCTCTGCTGTATAAATTCTTTTAGGTGACAGAATTTGTTTCCCATCAGTTTTAACTGCATATTCAACTTACAGTGCCAGACCTACTACGGCTTTGACCTGTTTTCCTGTCTTTGCTTATTAGGTCTGCCGTAAAATTTTTCGAATCCCTTTCTTGGGTCGGAAAGCTAACTTTCCCACTTCGAAAAAGCGTGACATTTGGAATTTCTGGAGCTCTTTTCAAGATTCACAATCAATTTAGAAATTCTACAAAACCTCTTTGTCTGAAGGTTTGCTACCCCAGACTATCTACAGATGTGTCCTGAGCCCATGGCTACTTATCCTTAGTCTATAAGAATCCTTTTTGAGCTCAAGACATTCCCTCTCTTCCTCCCATATGAAGACAGTGTATGAGTGTGGCTTGGGTATATCTTTCCTCTCCAAAGCTCTGATAGATAAGGCCCTTTCAAGGCCTTAGGATTGGAATCACCCCTTTTAGCCATCTCGCACTTGTGTCATCCGCACAGTTAAGTTCCAAGAAACCCGGCCTGTGGGTACTCTTCAGGAAGTGAATCTGAGGTCCCGCTCGCTTCCAGAATTTTCACCAAGACTACCTTAAGCTTATCCACATCCATCTTGGCTTCTGGTTAGTATTGCCGCAGTCTTATAGAAGCTGAAGCTTTGATGAAAAGTCACACTGTCGGTTCTTGGCCTTTTCGCTTTGCCTTGGCTTTCGGATGGCATGCTTCTATCTGACCTTGGTCTTTTTGGACCTTTGGTGTTCTAAATTTGTTTTTGTTTTGTCATGGCCTCTAATGGATTTGACTACATCTCTTTTGCCCTAACCTAACCATAGATATAGCTTAAATATAATGGTTCACGGTAATTACGCCATATCTGTATTACTTCTGTTACTAATGAATTGTTAGCATTGCATACTGCTTTTTTTGAAATAGCTCTCTTGTTTGTACCGAGCTGGCATGCTGCTGTAGCTCTGAGCGTACGTTGTTGAGATATCTATTATGAACTTGTCTATAACCAGTTTGGATATGAGATGAGAGCTGCTTGTATCGAATTTTGTCCTCTTTTGTAAGATCTTTGTTGATGATTTTCTCTGTTCTATTAATTCTAATTAGTTCATTCATAATTAATTATTCCTTAAAATGATCTAAATTGGTACAAAGTTCTCAAATAAAGTTTTCTTTTATAACATGCTACCAAACGTACACTTTAGACCTCTTACATTCACTCTATTAATGTTTATTGTAGACCAGTGAAAGCGTAACTTTGGATTTATTGACATTTGAAGATTTGGAATTGCTTAGATCAAGAAAAATAATTAGAAATGTAGGATATACTAACAATAACAGAAGATATCTCATAGTAACATACATAGTAGAGTTCGACAAGTAAGTTTTTTCTATAGAATTTGTTTATTAAAAAAGTCATCAACAATTTGTTTGCAATATACGACATTCTTTACAAAATATTCGGCTTATTTTTATTATTTTTTTATTAATAAGGTACGTGTACCAAATAAGGCCCATCTAACAATTATTACCTATTAATTTATTATACTTAGGCGATAGGAGGTGAGGAAAAATGTGTACCATGCTTCAGTTCTAGTAATATAAAAATAAAATACAAAAAAAATTATTTCATAATTAGTATTATCATAATCAAATAAATTATTAACTTTTGAAGTAGGGCCTTATTAGTAACCCATCTTCCAAATAAGGCCCATACCTGGTCCCTAAAACTTTAATGCATGAAGCGTGTTAATGGCAATAAAACCAATGACAAGATTTACCAAATATTTAATACACATTAATATAGGTAATTAACAAATGATATATTATCACTTCTCACACAATGAACATACGAAATTCGGCACTTTGTCTTTGAATGTCAACCCTACACATTCTTCATGTATATACTTTTTGCATTTTTTGCAAAGTCTCATGTCAGCTGTTCTGTCTTCACAGCATAAATAACAAAACCAGTTAACAGCTTCTGATGTTCCACTGCAGCTTGGAGCAGAACCGTCGTTTTCATTACTAGATTTCTCCAGATGTTTTTGTTTCGCAGGAATTATCTTTTCTTTCCCAACTGAAACCTCCTTAGAGGCATTATTTACTTTGGCACTCTGCTGCTTTTGTCTTTCAGCAAATAGTTCCTTAGTTACTACTTGCGCATGATAGTTTAGTGACTTCCGTCTAGGAGTCTGGAGTTTCTTTCTCAGCTCTGGAGTTTTCAAAATGTTTTGGAAGGAACAGTCGAGTTCATCATGGTTGTCGCTATCGTCATCATCGCCACTAAGACTGACATCACATGAACTATTCCTCACAGAAAATAGCTTACTTTTCGAAGAACTAGAACTGCTGGATTGGCGTCTCCTTTTTCGGGAACTCCTTTGTTCGGAAACTATTGGAATATTTGATGCTTCAGCAGGTTCGTAACCTATACGCATGTTTTCTTCTCGATCAGGACGCTGTGAAGGATGGGAAGGAGCGAATACACAGTCAGGAATAGATTCTCGATCAAAATGATAAATCCCAGTCGCTCGGAATCCAGACATGACATTAACTGGTGACGCAGCTTTTGGCCATACCTTGCTAAAGATTTTTCGAAATACCCGTCTATTAATTGCTCTATTTTCTTCCCCTTTATTAGTCGACCAATGTAACTGGACTTCATCGTTCCAATAAGACTCAAATGGTTTAAATACTGACTTGTTCGTAGGCTGAAGTTCATGAGTCGTATTGCTAGGCAAGCAGTACAGTCTAATACTGTGATCTGTGCCTAATCATCATCATCATCATCCAGCCGAATTTTCACATCCATTGTTGAATATAGGCCTCCTCCAAACGTCTCCAGTTCTCTCTATCTCTAGCTGCTGCAATCCAGTTTGTTTCTATTCTCTTTAGGTCGTCGGTCCATCGGGTGGGTGGTCTGCCTCGACTTCGCTTGTCGGCTCTTGGTCTCCACTCCAATAATCTCTTCGTCCATCTTCCGTCTTCCATTCTAGCAACATGTCCAGCCCACCTCCACTTTTGTTTATTGATTCGCAGTATAATATCGTCTACGCCAGTTCGTCGGCGTATGTCCTCATTTCTTACGCGATCTTTCAAGGTCAGGCCCAGCATTGATCTCTCCATTCGCCTTTGTGTTACCCTCAGTTTTTCGGCAGTAGCTTTTGTTAAAGTTAAGGTCTCTGCTCCGTAGGTCAAGACTGGTAAGATGCATTGGTTAAATGCCTTCCTTTTCAGGTGAATTGGGATATTTGTTTTAAAAATGTCTCTCATCCGTCCATATGCCGCCCATCCCAACGTGATTCGTCTATTTAGCTCGCAGGTTTGGTTGTCTCTGGTTATTCTAATTTCATGACCCAAGTATGTGTATTTATCGACTGTGCCTAATACTCCATAAAAAATTAGAAGAACTTCTCCTGCAGGTTTGTATTTAGCAAAATGATGCAGCCACTTGATAAAGGTTGATGTAGTCATTGAGCCCTTGTCTGTCATTTCTACCGCTGTTCCAGGTGGCAAAACCTGACTAATTGCATTTCCACATAACACAATAGATACATTTTCTCCATGTTCAGGAGCAACAAAGTGTAGCCGTTTCTCACCTTTCTTTGCTAAATCTTGAGGAGACTTGTGGAGAGACAGTCGATAACCCTTTTCATCCATACTATAGATGAGTTGTGGTTTGCCAAATGCCTCTAGTTCGGTCATAATATTTTTTAATTTCTGGAAATGATCATTGACAATAAACTTATTCAATTTTGCAGCTCTTCCTGGATTCATATGCTGCGCCTTCCTTCTGGAATCTCTGGGTTCCTTAGTAGGAATAACTTAAGCCATTTGCGCCCAGCCAAACCTTTTTCTTCATTAAAAGAATTCTGCAAATTATTTTTTTCGCAGAACTCGAATACACTGCGTCGGAGAACTTTAGCTGACTTCATCAAGCCGAAAAATTCTTTGAGTAAGTTCTCTTTCATCTTTCTTGCGTTTCCTTCAAGCAAGGTTTCCGTCCTAACTTCTTAATTGCTATACCGCTACTTACGTGGATGCGTAACGTACGCCTGGGGATACCATAAGTTTTAGATGCAGTTCTGACTGACATCCCTTCATTAACAGCTCCCATCGTTTTTTTAAATCATCCTTACTCCAGGTAGCACGTTTTTTCTTTGAATCCATCTTATAAAAACATTCAATAAATAAATACACTCATACTCCTGAATTGTAGACTTATATTTTTATAGTTTTTAAAAAATTAATTAGACGTACAAGTACAATGCCAGATAAACAGAACAAAATAATATAACTTCCATCATAGATTAAAAAAAAATGTGTTTTAATATTGCTTAGGCAATATAATTTTTTTATTAGTCTACTTGTATTATTAATGTATTTCCTTACATAATTATTATTCTCTGTATTTAAAACTGTAAGTGATCCCTTAGCACAATAAATATTTTTTTCATGCCACTTGGCATGAAAAGAACATATGAGACATATAAATCATCAAGCTGGAGGTGATTTATCCATCATACATAATTTGTATTGATCATTATGCAAACTAGAAAAAACACAAGTCTTTCAAGAGCCAGTTTCAATAAAACTAATGTTTTAGAATTTTATGACAACTATAACTAACTTTTTTAACTATGTCGAGTTCTTCAGAAATACTCTTTCACTTTCACTGCAAATATAATTTTCAATCTCGACGAAACTGGTGTAATGACGTTTGTTCAAGTTCCGAACATAATTAGAAAAAAAAAGGAATAATGCAAGTGGAACAAGCTGTTTCTGGCAAACGTGGAAACCTCGTTACAATGGTGAATTGTTAGCAAATCTGGCAATAAAGTACCACTAGTTTTTTACTCGGACAATGTTCCATGATACTTTTATGGTTGGTTGTCAATCTGGTAGTTTCGACTTGATAAATAGTCTAGTGAATGAATGAACGCATCGCTTTTTTTTTAAACGCTGGAACAAGCAAAAGCCAATGGTATCGTAATGGTCACCTTTTCTCGGAATTGCACATTGCACATATAGGTTACAACCGTTGGATGTATCTGTTATACATCCAAGCGTTGGATGTATCTGTGGGACCATTTAAGGCAAAATATAAGGTTGTTCAAAATTATTGGATGCTCTCATATCCCGGTAAGACCATTACCAATCATAACATTATTTAAATTGCGGACCAGACTTTTGAGAACTCTTTAACAATAAAAAATGTAGTAGCAGGCTTCAAAAAAACTGTAATATATCCATTTAATAAAAATGCGTTCTCGGATGAAAAGATGCAGCAAACGTGACAGACAGACATTATGATATGAATAACCTTGGAACTCTAGATTATTTATCATCGGTTGAGTTTACCGAAAGTACAAGCTGAATATAGCCGCAAATGTCATAAATATTTGGGTCTGGCCATAGAGAAATTTATTTCTCTATGGGTATGGCAGTGCTGGTATGTTTTTATAATGCATATGTTGAATGCTTCAAATACAAAGAGATAAAGCCTTTAAAAATTACATTTTGATTATACTATTTCATGAATTCTGCAATTTTTATTATATATGAAGTAATAACGAGTAGATATTTGTCTTTTTCGAGATTAATTTGCAAACATCTTTTGTAGTCTGGCAACTGCTGATTTGACGATTGCCAAATCTATCCCCTAATGTATCAAAGGGTAACTGCTAAAAAAATTTCTAATAATTAACTGCAATTAATCTCCAAAGAAACAAATATTTACTCATTGTTGTTGTTTATATAAATCAAAAATTGCAGAATTCATAACACAATATAAACAAAATGTACCTACTTTTCTAAAGCTTTATCTTTTTATATTTGAAGTATACAACATGTACATTCTAAAAACATGCCAACACTGCTATACCGAAATTTGTTGTTCCATGTTTGACATTTGCGGCTATAATCAGCTTGTACTTTCGGTAAACTCATCCTGCGTGACTTACGTCACCAGAGTACACAACGAATGCAAACCCATTTATTATCAATTTGTTCATGGTAATGATCTTTGAGTTTATTATTTGCTTTATTATTTATCGTTTCTTAAATATCTTAGTTTACTTTATATTTTTGTATTTGAAATTTTGGGGTTGTTTCCTGTACAAACTTATTTTGAATTATTAAAGAAAAGTTATTGTAGTTGTACATAGTACCTCTTGTAGAGTACCTTACATAAGAATATTTTTTTATAAGGTAGGTTAAAAGTTTAAAATTTTATCGTGTATTAACGTTATAATAATATTGATGAAATTTTAGAATGCCAGTCACAGGTTGTAGTGTGGTCACTTGAAAAAATAATTTTTATAAAAACAAGAAATTTGCTGATTTTGCTCAACAAATAACATTTCACTTTTCCCAAA